TGTATTTCAGAAAAGCACAAATGTATTTCAGAAAAGCATAGCTGTATTCTAAAAATATTTTTCTGAAATACATTTGCGTTTTTCTGAAATACATTTGAGGTTTTCTGAAATACATTTGGCCGGAAATACATTTGCGCTTTTCTGAAAAACATTTGAGGTTTTCTGAAATACATTTGCGTTTTTCTGAAATACATTTGAGCTTTTCTGAAATACATTTGGGTTTTTCTGAAATACATTTGAGATTTTCTGAAATACATTTGCGTTTTTCTGAAATACATTTGGCCTTTTCTGAAATACATTTGTGTTTTTCTGAAATACTGTTGGAAAAGGTGTAGTCATGTCCTTTTTCATATTCTCCAAGGTCACTCAGTGGTTCGCCCATGCACAGTGGGCCAGAAGACTGAAAAAGTGGCCAAAAATTGTTGCTTGACTATGTAAACGTGAATAAATCAGAAAAACATGTTTATTATAGTATAGCTTATTATCCAAGGTATCAAAATCGAAAAGTACCAGGTGTCCAAAAATTACAAAAAAATTCGAGAATACACTTAGATTGCATTTGTTGAAGATATTACAGCTTTAAAGGTATTAAAAATTCACCAGTTTTATTTATTTAGAAAACAGAGTTTGCCAGATATATGAAAATGTAGAGTTATTCCAAAGCTCCAAGCATACTTCAATTTCTATAGTTAAAAAAAAACCGTTTTAAGAGATAAAAAAGATATATATTTCAAAAAAGCTACAATTACGTTTATTAAAAAAAACATTTGCTTATTTAATATCACAATATTGGTATCAATCGGAAGGTGTTTGAACAACACAACACTTCAACACTAACATATCTTTGAGTAGTATTACCCATCCAACAACTAATAATCATTTTTGTAAAATAATTTATAATATTTAAAGAAATAAAAATGTAATTGAAAAATTGTAAGTGTGTTAAGGCTTTAATGTCAAATTATTTTAAAAAATGCATATAATTTGACCGAAACTGATAAATGCATTTTAACAATTCTTTCAAAATTTAACCTGTTATTAGCCTACAAATTGCCACACTTGCACTTTTTTTATTTTTTATTAATTTTTTTTTATTTCTATTTTTTTAATTTTGTATAATTAAATTAACGGAGAAATAACTTAACAACTTAAGAAAAACAAAAAACGAGACCAAAAATTAGATTCATTAGTAATTTTATTCATCGGCAATCGCCTTATAATTTTTTTTTTTATTTATATCCAACAATTTATATTGAGCTCGAGGCCGTTTTAAATGAAATTTTTTATTTATATCATAATAATTTAACTAACGGAAGAAAAAACTCGACAACTTAAAATAAAAAAAAAACAAAAAGGCTCTCATTAATTCCGGAGCAATCTTATTCATCAACAATTAGATTACTTTTGTCAAAAGAGACAACAATAATTAATATCTTCATTTACAAGCTCTAGGCAGTCTAGCAATTGAAAAGTTTTATGGATTCCTGTGCAATGTTCATCACCGTTACAATCTTGTGTAAATAGAAGGACTTACAGTTTAATACAGTGGCGGTTCGGATGAACTTTTTGGAAAAAATGTTAGGTAATTTTTTTGTCAAGAAATGTCGCAGAAAATTTTTATGGTTGTAAATCAAACAAAGCAAAAATATGCAAAAACAACATGCATTTATTCTAAAATATACTATAATATGCGCAATACATAAATAAAAAAAGGAATT